AAAATAAAATTTTAAAGTTGAAAATATATATTTAAAAACAAACTTAAATTTTTTTTTTTTTTGGGGGGGGGGGGGGAGCTGGTAGGGAGGATGGCCTGGGGGGGGGTCGAGGGTAGGGGTGAAAAAATAAAAATTTGAAATTGAAAACATTTTTTTAAAAACAAACTTAATTTATTTTTTGGGGGGTGGGGGGGTTGGTAGGGGGCTGATGGGGGGAGTCGAGGGTACATGATAGGGTGGGATAAAAAAATAAAAAATAAAAATTGGAAATATTTTTTAAAAATAACTTTTAATTTTTTTTTTGGGGGGGTGGTTGGTAGGGGTGAGGGTGGGGTAAAAACCTAAAAAAATTGAAGTTAAAAATATTTTTTAAAAACAAGCTTTAAATTTATTTTTGGGGGGTGGTTTGGGGGGGGGGGGGGGCGCTGGTTTGAGGGTAGGGACAAAATAAATTGATTTTTTCAACAAAAAAAATTGTAATTTGAAGTTGGAGGAGAGTTTTGGAAAATGTTCTCCTTAATTTTTGAAGGGAAGTCATTTTCCTTAAATTTGAGGAAAATGAGTTGATTTGAAAAACATTTTCCAAACATTTAACCCAACCAAACATGAGAAAATTGGAAAACATTTTTCATTCATACCAAACACACCTTAAAATTCAAAACAAATATAGTAATAGATAAGGACATAGTGTCTTATCTAGATAGTCTTTCTCGTTTGAAGTTTAGTTATTATTTTAAAAAAATCATGTTCTTCCCTTTTAACATGACTATTTCCATTATTGTTTGTCATTTTGTGTTGTTGTTTTTTTATATCTAACATTTTTTTTAATAATTAAGGTATATGCATAATTTTAGGATTATTGATTTTGGCTAGTTGTCACTTGTCACAAGTTAGTGATGAACGAAAGCACATTATATTATATGTATTTGTTTGTATATACTCATGGATTGAAATATAAAAGAAATCATCAAGTAAACCTAATATTTGACGTATTTCAATTTCTTAAACTTTTATTATTATCTTCAAGGGAAACAAAAAGAAGAAAATTTTCATGGATACTTATCTTGGAAGAAGGTGCATCATATGACAAGGAAATTAAATATGAACCAGAATCATGAAGTTTATTATTTAGCTCATGACATTTTCTAGATTTAGGCTTTATGTTCGTTTTCTTATTGAGTGATTATAGTTACATATCTATTCAACACACATCTATTTAAATTTTAAAATTGCGAAGAGTACACTCTTTTAAATAAAGTTATTTTTATTTTATTTGTTATTTTTGTATAAATAAACTGTTTAAGTTATGTAGAAGGGGCAAACGTTAAATTTCTAAAACACCCATGTTACTTATAACTTATCCTTAAATTAGTAAGAGGGATATTTTAGGAATTTAAATTTTAGCTTAATAACAGAGTCCGGAGTCAAAAGGGTAAGAAAATTTGCCAAAAATTAGGACAGCCTCCGCAAGGTGCGGAATTTCATGCGCCTTCTAAGACTTAGCCGCCATGAGCTTTGCAAGGCGCAAGAATGTCAGCACCTTGCAGCGGAATTAACTTTTTTTTTGTTTCATTCCAATTATTATAAACAAATGTATATCATTTTACTCTCTTTAACAAGAAATTTAAAAACATCCGCTATATTATATGTTTAATACAAAATTATATAAACATCCGCAAATAGAAGTAAATGCACAACTAATCCAGTAATTATTAATCCTCATATTACAATCTTTAAAAGGTAAGTTTCTTATAACAATCATTTTATATATTATAGGCTAAATATCTAAATAGATCTTTAAATTTTATACGCTTGACAAGTTTGACACTCCAATTTATTTAGCGATTAGATAAACATTTCAGTTAAATAGAAATGTCCCTCATAAACAATCAAGTTAGCAAAACCAATCATGTGAGCATTACTTGTCGATGATAAATATATATGATGTAATATGAGATTCACGATAACACGCAATAATTAGCACTAGATCATGAAATATTTTTTATTTATTTTTTGTTAAAGTCCTCTTGATCATGAAATTGGGGATATTTTTACGATAAACATTTGGTGATAACTCAGGTAGGAAACTCACAATACACCTGATAGTTTGAGTATGAAACATAAAAAATTGAGATACTTTAAATATGTTTTTGATATTTTTACCCAAATAATTATAGTTCGATTCTTATTGTCTCCTTCTACTCTCTTTAGGTGCCAAAGTCTTTTCGAAATGTGCACGCGTGAATAACCTAATTGATTATTGTGAAGAAGTATAAATAAAAAAAAAACATACTGAAAATTTTGTTAGGGTTTTGCCCTGATTTTCTTACCATAATTTAAGATTTATTTTTCCTTAAAGAAAAAATAAAACATTACCATAAATATTTTTACTTTTCTTGAAAGGAAAATATAATATTATTTTATATTTGGTTTATTCTCTCCTTTATGACTCCTTTTCTAGTAAGAAAAGGTTTTAGGACTCTATAAATATAGGTTTGTTTTCTTCTAACACATAACAATAGCATCCACAATGTAGTTCTTTAAGAGTTTTGTTTATGGGGAGATTTTCTCTCTACAGTTTCTATGTTTTTTGATTAGTTTTTAATTATGTAGGCCAATTGGTCATATCCTACAATAATGTATTTCTTTTAGTATAATTTTATGTGTTGTCTAATTTATCGTCTTATGATTTGCAATTGTAAGCTTCCGCATGACGCCCTAATCACCCCTTCATAACCCAACAAATTTGAGAAATTAAGAAATTGAATATTAGTTAATGTGCATGTGTCTTTATATCTAATAAATAAAATATATATTATAGTAGTAGTTTTTTGCAACTATCGAAAACCTCATTATAAAGAAACCAAACATGCATTTTATTAAATTAAATAGTGGTTAATTAATTAAAGAGTTGATATATACTAGGATAAATACTTTATCCATCATAGAAGTCATCTCAACCCAAATGACAGATCTATATGGTTGTCAAAATCTTATCATACAATTTATTCTCTTCTTAATAATTTTTAATTAGTAAAATTTGAATCTGATTTCAATTCTAAGATTAATTAGTAACTACCTGATATATAGTTAAAACAATTTTATAGATAATTTCCTTAGAGTATATTCCATGCATAGACCAATAGGTACAATAACCAAATTTTCAAACGATGTTAATTCAAATGATTGGTTTTGCTAACTTGATTGTTTACGAGGCATGTTTCAATTTAACTGAAATGTTTATCTAATCGCTAAATAAATTGAAGTGTCAAAATTGTCAATCGTATAAAATTTAAAGATCTATTTAGATATTTAGCCTATAATATACAAAATGATTGTTTTAAGGAACTTACATTTTAGAGAATGTAATATGAGGATTAATAATTACTGGATTCGTTGTGCATTTGCTTCTATTAGCAGATGTTTATATAATATTGTATTAAACATAGAATATAGCGGATGTTTTTTAATTTCTTGTTAAAGATAGTAAAATGAAGTATTTTTTTTTTTAATAATTGGAATGAAACAAAAAATAATAATTTTAATCCCGCCACATGACATTCCTGCGCCTTGCAAGGCTCATGGTGGCTGAGCCTTACAAGGGGCATGGAATTCCGCGCCTTGCGGCGGCTGCCCTAATTTAAACGGTGTCAAATTCACAGTTAGAAAATTGCCTTTTTGGTTCAATAATCAATTTTGTTTCCCTTTTGAAAAATTTGGCAAATTTTCTTAGCCTTTCAGTTCCAGACTTCTTAATAACATTCCACTTATATATATACTAGAAGGCCCATGGCCCGTGCTAACCACGGGCCCGACATCCGTGTGTCATTACATAAAAAAACTCTTAAGATACCAACTAATGAGTACATGGGACTATTTTCCTATCAATCCTAAAGTAAGATATAATACACTGAGATGAGATACCATCTAATTAGTTGTAGGCCTATCTTCATTCATTTTGATCTCCTTTGTTAGAAACCTGTACATAGGAAAGAGTGTGAAAACATTTTAAACTGAAACGATGAAAAATTAGTCCAAAGTACGAATGAGAGGAGCAGACGAACAATAAGGGAAAAATTGAATATTAATTGGAAGAAGTAAAAAATTTTAGACTGTAGAAAAAGTGACGCTAAAAATGAGGAAAATAATCTTGAATGAAGAATCTAGCATCTCATCAAAATTCTAGTAAGGGACAAAGCAGTAAGCAACTCTAATATTTTTAGAATCTGAATATACCTTATTATTTGTGTCACATGAATTTCAAAAGATTAAAGCAGGAGACATCTCTATATGAGTATGTGGCTATGTGCAAGAAAGTACATACGGGGAAAATGAGTATTAGCGATGTAAATTATGACATCGAAATATTATAGTGCTATTGATGTGGATCAGTCGGAATAAAATATACTACCTCTGTTAGCAAACCACATTTCTATCAAGTATTTAAAATCAAGCACCTAGAATTCTTCACATAATATTAATATCAACTTAGTCTACCATATATGCTCAATAACAATGATCTAACTTCTAAATACCTAATACCTGAGAAGCTATGAATAAGAACACTCATAGTTGATATTTTAGCAAAGTCAAGAGACGGATCATTTGAACAACAATGTATGATGGGTTGGCAAGTATACTAAAAAGAAATGCATATAAATAATGAAATTGTTGTTAATCATAAATAATATTAATGCCATCATTTATCTACATTTCTTTCTAATTATAGCATCAACTATAAATAAAAGGTATAACATGATAGCATTTCATTTCATGCACAAATTAACCAAGAGATTGAGCAGAAGGATCGAACTAAATGAAGCAAGAAGGTGACGTTCCAATTGTATCATCCCATTTTATCGGATGCCCCCAAATGGACATGCAAAACTTCTATCTTAATATCTCACTGCTATTGGGTATGAAGTCTTTATTTCACAATGGGGTCCCCTTGATATTTATACTTCTATAACCCTATGACATGCATAGATTAGAAGCATTTTTTAAAGCTTTCCAACCTCACATCTTGCAATCGGTTCCTCCTCATACTGAAGGTCCTTGTCTAACAACACTATGTCCCACTTTATGATGTAATCTTTGTTGCCATGATACTTCTTCAACATTGACACATGAAACACTGGATGAACTACAGATAAGCTACGGAGTAAGGTCAATCTATAAGCCACTGGCCCTACATAATCAAGAATCTCAAATGGACCAATGTATCGAGGACTAAGCTTTCCATTCTTGCCGAATTTTATCACCCCTTTCATGGGTGACACTTTAAGAAGAACTTTCTCACCAGTCTGAAATGCCATGTCTCTTACCTTATCGTCTGCATACTTTTTCTGTCGACTTTGGGCTGCTAGGAGCTTAGCTTGGATACTTCTTACCTTATCCTGAGCTGTAACACCCCGTATCCAAAAACATACCTTAAAACAGATTTCCAGAAGTTGTAGGTGCAACTTACGAACGCCACCAACGGACCGTAGGGTGACCCACGACTCGTGTTGGTGGTCCGTGGCTCACATCTGCAACCCCCCAGAACTCAGCCCCTAAATTCGTCTAAGGGTCGACCCATGGCCGGACCCACGGACCGTAGGTCAGACCACAAACCGTGGTCCGCATCCATGGATCAGACCCCCAGAAACCAGCCTCCAGTACTGATCGATAGTTGACCAGCACAGACCGTCAGTCGATCGACGGTCCGTCAGTCCCGTCTATCGATGACTCCGACATCAGTAAAGTCGGGGGTCTTTTGGTCTTTTCCTATTTCGTTGGACCCGTAAACTACATTGTTTTAACCCTAAACTACGTAGTTTTGGTTAATTTTAGCCTAGAAACATAACTAGAACTTACCTAAGTCAAATCCTTCATAAAAACTTAGAAAGTTAGAATGCTAAGAGGAGAAAGAAGTCAAGAACCCTAGTTTAAGAACGCAACAAGTTTCCTCCAGTTCCATCCCAGAAACCAAATGATTTCTCCGTGGAATTCGTCACCAGGTATGTGGGATTTCACTAGTGGGTTCCTTTCACCCATTAGGTCCCTAGAATTTAGTCAGATTCTTGATTCCATATTATTAACTAGACCTAGGGTTTCTAGAACTTTAGCATATTATCATGAACTAGTTAATTTAATGTTCCAAATCAGATTATCATGTTATTACTCAATTACTCATATGATATTCAGAACCCTAGTTGTATATATTCGTTAGTTCATGAATTATGCATGCTAGGTCATATTATTCGGTTATTACAGAAATACACATGCTTCAGTTTATGAATGTCACATTATCAGTCATAATTGTTGTATTCTCAGTTTGCATGAAAGTTTGAGCTATCCAGTATATTAATGAAATCCAGTCTTAATGTGTTAATTATTTAATCTATTGGGAGTAACATAATATCGAGTTGGACTAGGGTCAGTCACCCATGTAGTCCCAGAACTACGAGCCACGTAGGTTGTAAGTCCCCTCTGTGGGAATCATTTTAGTGATCACGCCAATATGCCTCTACACCTTTGGCCAGGTACATTAGGTCCTCTCGATGGGGCGTATACATCAGAATCGACATTTAGCTCATGTGGTTTTATGTCAGTTATTAGTAGCTCCCACAGTTCAGTCAGACTCTATTGCATTGACCACATTTCAGTACAGTCAGTGGTAAGTATCAGCATGTTATAAAAGTGGTTTTTGTATTTAGTTAGTTCATTATTCAATATCTATATCATGTTCAGTTTATATCCTTGCTTTATTGCTTGTTCAGTTATATGTTATTTCAGCTTTACTCTATCCTGCATGCTCAGTACCTCTCAAGTACTGACGCATACTCTACACTACATCTTTTCGTGATGTAGGTTCATGTCCTCAACAATCAGATCATGCATAGATTGGTTCCCGATCTCTAGCTCAGTAGCATCGCATCAGTGGTGAGTCCTCATTTTCCGAGGACAATAGTCATGTTATTTACTTCAATATTTCGGTCTTTTAGTTTCAGTTTTGCTAGATTTAGCTGGGGCATGTCCCAGTACTTCTAGTCAGGTAGAGGCCATTTTCAGGCATAGTTAGATTCAACTTAGTATTTGAGTTTGATACTTCTCTTATATTAAAACTCTCAGATTTGATATATATTCTGTTTTGAATGGGTATTCCCCATAACTTTCATCTTCATGATATTTAAGCTTCCGCATCAGTTGTTGTTATTCTTAGTATGCTCATGTCATGCTAGTAGGGTTAGCTTGGGGTAATTGGTGACCCTATTTCCCGTGTCCGCGTCTCGGGGGTATCTCGGAGTGTGACAAACTTGGTATCAGAGCACTAGGCTTAAGTGTCTTAGGATGTCTGAAAGGCCGCACTAGGTAGAGTCCTTTTCATGGGTGTGTAGTGTGCACCACATCTAATGAGAGGGAAACTACAAAGTGATTTAGGAAAAAAATTCATTTTTCTTGTTACTCTTATTGTGCGTAAGGTATGATCTAATTCCTCATTCTAACTCGACGTTCTACATTTTAGTGATCATGCCTCCTCGTAGAGCTAACGCTAGGAATGCGAATGCCAAGAACGCAAACGCAACTTCTCCAGTCCCAGATCAAGAAGTTTCAAATGAAGAGTTCAGGAATGCCATACAGATGTTTGCTCAGAGTGTGGCCAACCAGAACAATCAGCAGGTCCGAGGTCAGGCAGATGCTAATGTTGGGTCAGCTATAGCCAGAGTGCGAGTTTTGTTAGGATGAATCCGCTAGAGTTCTTAGGATCGCAGATTGGTGAGGATCCCTAGAACTTCATTGATGAGGTCAAGAAGATCTTAAAAGTGATGTATGTAACTGGGAATGATCGGGTTGAGTTAGCATCTTACCAACTTAAGGATGTGGCTCATATCTGGTATACTCAGTGGAAAGAGAGCAGGGGTACATCTGCAGCTTCGATCACTTGGGATTGCTTTAGTGAGACTTTTCTGGATAGGTTCTTTCCAGGAGAGTTAAGAGAGGCAAAAGCTCATGAATTTATGAACTTAAGGCAAGGTAGCATGACAGTCCAAGTGTATGGGGTCAACTTTACCCAACTCTCCAGGTATGCTTCTCACATGGTTGCTGAATTGGGTGGTGGTAATCACTCGCAATTTCAGCAGAAGTCTTCAACTCTAACACCTTTATCAACTAGTGGTCCATCCTCCAAGTTTCGTTATGATTAGAAGGGTAGGGTAGGGTATCGGGCTCTAAGTCTCAAGGAAGTGTTTCAGGTACCAAAACCTACCCAACTTGTCCCAAGTATGGTAAGAACCATCCATGCGAGTGCCCTGCAGGAATGGAAGGATGTTTTGAGTGTGGTCAGTCTGGTCACAGGTTGAAAGATTATCCATCTAGACAAGGTCAATGAGGTAACAATGGTGGAGATCAGTCCACAACTTCAGCAACACCAGCAGGTCGCCCGACTCAGCAGGGTAACTCATCTGGTACATATGGCGGTCAGCACCAAAACAGGTTGTATGCTCTTCAAGCTTGCCAGGATCAGGAAGACTCTCCAGATGTAGTCACTGGTACGTTCCAAGTCTTTGACTTAGATGTTTATGCTTTGTTTGATCCAGGGGCTACTCTTTCATTTGTAACTCTTTATATAAAAGTCAAATTCGATATAGTCCAGAAAGTCTTTCAGAACCTTTCTCAGTCTCTACTCCATTCGGTGACCCAGTTATAGCTAGACGGGTATACATAAATTTCCGTGTCATAGTCTCCTAGAAATCACCTCAGCAGATCTTGTAGAGTTAGAAATTGTAGACTTCAATGTCATTCTAGGCATGGATTGGTTACATTCCTGTTATGCCTCAGTCGATTGTAGAACTAGGATTGTTCGTTTTCAGTTTCCAGATAAGCAAATCCTAGAATGGAAGGGTAGTAGCTTAGCGCCTATAGGTCAATTCATTCCCTACCTTAAGGCCAGAAAGAAGATTTCTAAGGGTTATCTCTATTATCTAGTTTGGGTTAAGGATTCAAGCTCTGAAACTCCAACTCTTGAGTCAGTTCCCGTAGTTAATGAGTTCCCAGAAGTGTTTCCAAAAGATCTTCTCAGAGTTCCTCCCGAAAGGGAAATCGACTTTGGAATTAATCTCCTTCTAGATACCCATCCTATCTCTATTCCTCCTTACAGAATGGCTCCAGTTGAACTTAAGGAATTGAAAGAGCAGTTGAAAGACCTTCTAGATAAGGGCTTCATCAGACCTAGTATTTCTCCGTGGGGTGCACCAGTGTTGTTCGTGAAGAAGAAAGATGGTTCTCTCAGAATGTGCATTGACTATAGGCAGTTGAACAAGGCCACAATTAAGAATAAGTATCCCATCCCCAGTATTGATGACTTGTTTGACCAACTTCAGGGTGCTAGTCATTTGTCAAAGATAGACCTCAGATCGGGTTATCATCAACTCAAAGTCAGAGATAGTGACATTCCAAAGATAGCCTTCAGAACTCAGTATGGTCATTATGAATTTGTAGTTATGTCATTTGGACAAACCAATGCTCCTTTCATGGATTTGATGAACATAGTGTTCAAGCAGTACTTGGACTTGTTCGTTATCGTCTTTATTGATGATATCCTCATTTACTCTAGGAATGACGAAGAACATGCGAACCATTTGAGGGTTGTCCTACAAACTCTCAAAGATCGCCAGTTATTCACCAAATTTAACAAGTATGAGTTTTGGTTACAATAAGTTGCTTTCCTTGGGCATATAGTATCCAGCGAAGGGATCCTAGTGGATTCCCAGAAAATAGAAGCAGTGAAACAATGGCCCAGACCTACCTCTCCTATAGATATCAGAAGTTTCTTGGGTCTAGCAAGTTATTATAGAAGGTTCGTGGAAGGATTTTCATCCATAGACTCTCCATTGACTAAGTTGACTCAGAAGAAAGTGAAGTTTCAGTGGTCAGATGATTGTGAGAAAAGCTTTGCAAAATTGAAAACTAGGTTGACTACAACTCATGTTCTGACTCTACTAGAAGGTTCAGACGGTTATGTTATCTATTGTGATGCGTCCAGAGTTGGCCTAGGTTGTGTGTTGATACAACGAGGTAAGGTTATATCTTATGCTTCTAGACAGCTTAAGGTGCATGAGAATAACTATCCAACTCATGACCTCGAGCTAGCAGCAGTGGTGTTTGCACTTAAGATTTGGAGACATTATTTGTATGGTGTTCACGTAGATGTGTTCATAGACCATAAAAGCCTTCAATATGTGTTCACCCAGAAAGAGTTGAATCTTCGCCAGAAGAGGTGGCTTGAGTTCCTCAAGGACAACGATATGAGTGTGCATTACCATCCTGTTAAGGCCAATGTGGTAGCAGATGCTCTTAGTAGACTATCTATGGGTAGTGTAGTGCAAATTGAAGAAGAAAGAAAGTAACTAGCAAAGGATGTTCACAGACTTGCTCGCTTATGAGTTCGTCTTATGAGCATATCGGATGGTGGTGTAACAGTTCAGAATGGGTCAGAGTCTTCTTTGGTAGTGGAGGTGAAGGAAAAGCAAGACAGTGATTCGATATTGCTTGAACTAACGGGTGCAATCCACCAATATAGGGTTGATGTTTTCTCCCAAGGGGGAGATGGTGTGCTTCGCTATCAGGGTCGATTATGTGTTCCTAAGG